TGTTGTTACAGCAGGCTCAAGAAATTAAAACCTAGCTCTAGCCTCATGTATTATCTTTTTACCAAAAAACAGGAATCAATAAGGCAAAGGTGGGCAGACAGGATAGAGAGTTTCAGAATCTCTACCCAGAGGTGGCTCTACAGAAATGCAGAAGGAACAGCCATACCACCCAGGGGCCAGGCAGATTCCAGGGATCCAAACAGACAGGCTCCCTGCCCAGAAAGACGTTTTGTTTCCTACAGCCAAGAGGAAGACAATTTCACCTGTGTTTTAGGGTGGTACAAGAGCACAGGCCACACCACGCCTCACTTAGAATCAAGCAGGAGTCCTGGTGCATTGTGGGTTAATGCACCAGACTGCAAAGCCGTTTGAACTGCAAGGTTGGTGGTTCAAGCTCACCAGCTGCTCCTCAGAAACCCTATACAGGGTCACTCTGGGTCAGAACCGACTCGACGGCACTTCACAACAAGAATCAATCAGAGCTGAGAGAAGTCCTAGCCGGGCACTGGGAGAAATCTGCCACAACTATACTGTGTGGGCTGTCTGTCCTTGGTCTCCTCCCCCTTCCTCCCTGCACCCCTGGTCCTATAGAGGTGAGTAAGGAGGGGCAAGGAGCACAAAGACCCTAGCTACTCTGCAAACATCAGAACATTCTGTCTGACCCCCTTCACCTCCTGTTATTGTTGATCGTATCATTTCAGTCACTAAAATGTACTTTGGATTTGAGCCTGGAAACAAAATCCAGAAACAGGTACAAGGTCCGACGCCTTTTCTTTTGTGTAGCATTGTTCTTTGAACAGGAAAGGTAGCTGAGACTCAAACAACTTCATTTCAGGGAGGATCTGTGGCTCCACTCACAATGGGAGAGCTTCCCAGGAACAGAACACTCGCTGTGCTGGGCAGGAAGGCTTGACAATTCTGCCTCAGCAGTTACAGTAAGAGTTCCAGCACCAGCTCACTGCCAAGAACTGCTCTTTTTTGTAAATGAGGCTCCGAATCTAGGGTCAAGTCCCAGCTTGGTGTCCAAGAGGAGCATATACCCACTTAGAGGCAACATCACCCCCTAAATCCTGGGACAGACAGTCCCACCTAGGCATTTTCCAGTCTTGCCCCATGTAACATAGGAGAGGATCTTTGGGCCTCAGTCAGAGTCTGTAATCTGTCTCATTTCTAAGTTTTGTTTCCTCACACTCAGCTGTGTGAAGGAACGTGGCACCAAAGTCCCAAGCTGTAAATTGCTAGGATTTTCTCAAAAGGATATGCCTCAACAGGAATGGGGGATATTACTACCATCAAATTAGAACCAGGACTGGAGAGCATCCTTTGGACACTGAGATTCCTGTGCATTGTATCTCCTCCACCGGGGACAAAAAGCTGTGACACTGGAGAAATGGCAGAGGAACAGTAGCAGCAGATCCAAGAGCTAGAGCACAAGAAAGAGTGATGGACTTGCCAGTCCAAGGTACAAGTAAAGCTGAGTAACTTTGGGCAGGACGCTCACTGCAGACAGAGTTGGGTGCCTCTAGGCACTTAATTGGGGGAGCTAGGTTTGCTGATCCATGGAGCTAGAGATGAGCGGTCTCAGGTGGCGGCATATGGTGAAGTGCTGTGTCCTGTGGGCGTTTGTCAGCAAGAAATCTGCAACAGTGCCAGAGCATGGCAAAGGCCAGGCCAATGAGTTGAGGGCTTAGAGGCCTGCCAGAGGTCAAGACTGAAGAGGGACTGTCCTAATGAAAGAACTATGCCCTGAACATTTCTGACCCTGAATTATAACCTGTTAATTGGAGGGGGAAAAAAAAAAAAGGATATGCCTTGCACCACTGGACTTTGGGATGTGACCCTTCAGAGTCGCTGCTGGAGGTTGGCAAGTGCTGAGGCACCCAGGCCACCTCCAGGCTCCACCTACCCCAGCGCATCTTAGGCTCATGAAGACTGGCCCAACCCTGACCGACCCAGCCTTCCTAGCCATCCCCAGTTTTCTAGGCCATCTCAGTCATCCCCACTAATCTCACTGTTTCTGCCGCTCTAGTGATACTCAAACATGCCAAGATGGAGGAGCAAAGAGCCAGCCAGCATGGGACATCAGAACATGGTTATGCTCAATGTGACCTTGAAAAAGGAGCTTTGCAAATGTGATCAGTTAGGATACCATGTGGTCACACTGGAGTAGGGGGTTGTCCTTATAAAAGAACAGGTAGAAGCACAAGGAAAATAGCCACATGAAGATGGAATTATGTCACACATTCAGACACAGCGGAGATGACAATGTGAAGTCTGGGGGGTGAGAATGGAATGATGCATCTATAGACCAAGGCCTGCCTGAGGCCATCAGAAACAAGGAGAGACAAGAAAGGATCTTTCCCTAGAACTGTCAAAGAGAAAGTGGACTGCCACACCCTGAATTCAGACTTCTGACCTCCAGGACTGTGAAAGAAATAATTTCTGATCTTATAAACTACCCAATTCATGGTACTTTGTTATGGCAGCCCCAGGATATAGAAACAAGTACTGTATAATCTTTAACCCTGTAGGCACCCCTTGGGTGTGGTAAAGCCAAGCACTAGGTCAAGGTAGCAATATGTGGTGAAGGTTAGAGTATCCAATGAACTAAGACATATCTGAATTGTTTCGGTTGATGTCTAGATTTAGAGGGGGCATGATCTGAGGACCGCCACCAGGCAAAGGATACCTATAAGGAAGTGGGGGTTCAATCTACATCTATTCCACCCAAACCAACACAAGAGGCTCCCAATCATACTCGGATCTTCCGGCATATCAACAGGTGAACAAGTCACACCTGATACATCTCCTTTTCAGTTAGCTAGCACCTCCCAGCATTGAGAAAATCCATAGTCCCCATTTCCCTTGGTTCTGAAAGGGTTCTATGAGGCAGGCATCATCCCATCATCCTATCTCAGTGATCTCAGATAAGGTCACTGAGCATCCCAAGGGCTATATGTAAACAGCTGATGATACTCCCTTCTACTAACACCTGCCCAGCCATGCTCTCCAAAGATGAGGGGCTGAATTTGAATCTGACACAGAGGAGTCACCTCCAGCCCTAGATCTGCAGACATAAAGAAACTTGGAAGGTAGGAGATGACTCACGCTGCCGCATCCCCCTTCGCCTCTCTATCCCCACTACCAGAACCTCATGATAATCCCCAGTGCTTACAGTTGTAGTTCTACCAAGTGCACTTGCCCACAAATAAGGATGCTGGGCAGGTAATAACCACAGCTCTGTCCTTAAGAAGCACTTTTCCAGGTGGGCAATGGAGACACTATCCACAGTGATTGGAACAATGGTCCTCAAGGTGGACACTAAGGGCATGTGCCTGGAGCTCAGAAACACAGTGGCTTCACTGCAGGCTCCCAATTTAACAGGAACGTCCGCCTACTGGAAAGTAGCAAGAACAGAGTAGGAGCAGATGGATGTGGAGGAGGGCCGGACCAAGGGCAGGCTGAGGCTCTTCCTGCCTTCTTCCCTGGCAGCACACAACAAAAGCTGGTCTTGGAGCCCTGCCTGACTCTGCACTCCCTGGCTCCCCAGCTTCAGGGATTCTGTACTTTTCTCCCCAAGCACTATCTCACCTCTGTCCACAAAAGCACAATTTACCTGCCAAGCCTGCCCCCAGGCTAGTAGCCAGCAGATTGGAGCAGGGGTTGAGCTCAAAAGGGCAACCCCGGGGTGGATGGCATCTGCCCCAGACTGGCTGGAGTAAGCAGAGCACTATTCTCAACAGGTACTCAGAAGTCAGCATTGGCTGTGTCACTTTCCCACCTTCAACCCTACACTCCCACTGTTTTCTCCTCCAGCATAACAACTTTCAGCTCTTATATTTTCCCAGATGCCACCCAGGCCCTTCTGGGTCTTCCACCTATCCAAGATTCACCAGTCCCAGGGCTCTGCCATGGCATGGAGGCAGCAGACACCGGGGGACCTGCTCAGGAAGACAGCCAGACAGAGGTGGGTAGTCCAGGGCAGCTGCCTAAGCCCTCCTACTAGAAATAACAAGGGAGGAATTGCCGGTAACCTGGTGTCCCACTAGGTTCCTCCACCAAGGGCCACCAAGCCAGAACCTCACTTGGATACTCTTACCAGGCAAAAGGACCCCTGGGACGGGTTCATAATGAAAGGTTAAAATATTTACAAAGCAGCTTTTAAAATCAAAATCCCAGGTTGGTCCCAGGACATTCCTGGAGCTCTCCTCCTCCAGAGGAGATGGTAAAATTGACTCTTCTCTGCGGCATGCCCCATACTACCTCCCCCCCAACACACACTTTGGCCACTTCCTGCAAGAGTAGATGGGGTGTCATGGGTCCTAACATTGGATTGGGTGTCCATCTACACCATGGCCTCCCTTTCCCTGACCTTACTCAGTCCCCTCTTTCTCTCCTCATAGAGATTCAGGAAACAGAATCCTCGGGTCCAGTATCGCGGGCACCCTCACCATCGCCCTACAAACATCTGGCCTAAATTCACCTTCTCAGCTCTCACTCTTCATCAAGGCTCCTCCCTTACTCAGCACTCCGGCCAGGGCAGGGTCCCCGCTCTCGTGACCTCAGAGCTGTGGTAGGGCACAGACGCTGGAGAATGCGCCACAGGGGCTCCGTTCCCCTAAGCGCCCCCGCCCACCCAACGTCCTAGTCCGCAAGGTCCAGACCCTCTTGCTACCCCCGTCCTCTCCCACCTATGAGCGCTCATCCCCACATTCAACCCTGCAAGACTAACCACTGGGGAGGCCTCCTCCGCTTTCACGAAGGCCCGTCCCCCCTCAGCCCCGCCGCGTCACGCGCCGCCGGGATCGCCGGGGCTCCAGGGGAGCCGCACCAGCCCCCAAGCCAAGCTCTGCGCGCGCCGGGACCTGCGCGCCCACAGCCCACGTTCCGGATGGGAAGCGGCGGTCGATAGCTTGGCCAAGGTCATGCACCCAGAGGGATCAACTCTACGGCCACGAAGCCAGGGACTGCCCGGGAGCATTACATAAAACCGCGCGTACCTGCAGTGGGAAGGTAGCGGCGCGGTTGCCCACGTATCCGCGGACGACGTGGCTCTGGAAGGAGAGCACTCGGCACTCTTGCTCCATGCCGGGTCTGCGCGTGGTGCGGAACTCAGAGGATCGGTGGAGGCGCGCGGGCAGGCTCACAGCGCCGCCGCTGTCTGCTCGGCTCGGCTCGGCTCTACTCCGGCCCGCTCGGCTCAGGACACTACCGGGACGCCAGGCCGCCTCCCTGTGACATCAGCACGGCTCTGAGCCGCCAGATCTCTCAGCGCGGCTGGGCGGGGCGGGACATTGCCGGGGGCAGGGCCGTAAGGCACGCCCACTATTAGACCCCGCCTCGGTTTCCGCCCGGGTTACTGGGGAAAAGCGCAGCGCCACGTTCCAATCACACCCGCTGTCCTTCCACTACGGCGACTATCTTTCCCTTGCGCTCCTGGCCAAGTGGAGGGCTGCAAGGACATAGCAGCGTTTTTCGTTCATTCATTCATCCCACAGATATCTGCCAGGCTGGTACACTGGGGACACAACGGTGGCGGTGCCACGTCCTCGACCTGTCCGGGGACATTTCCGGAATACAGTTGCACAAGAAACACGTTCAATAAGGAACACACTCGCGCGATACGAAGGATAGTGAGAGGGGCCCCTGAGGTGACCTTGGGGTGCAGGCAAAGGTTCATGAAAGCCTCTAGCTAGCTAGTAGGCAGGGACCCGGACAAGCCTATTCCCGCCCACCGCCTGGGTCCGCACTTCCGGGTCTCTACCTCAGGGGGCGTCATGGTCGCGAATCCGAATGGGTGACCTGGGTGATCCCGGAACCTATGTTCTCTCAACACCCCGATCCTTCACGTCCCCGCGCCGCCCTTTGGCCAGGGGCACAAGGGCACTAGACTACTCTTAGGATCCGTTACAGTCTCGTACCCACATAGCCCGCAGGCAGTCAAAAGCAGCGACGCCCGACATGCCCCTTTCCCTACCCTGCGGTTCTGAGTCCCAATCCTGAAGAGGCGCCAAGGGGAGGGTGTGAGTGGGGCAGGCGGTGTGAGAAGCCTGGCCCCTGAAGCCCTACGGGACCGTGAATGCCCCCTGCGGCCACAGGACTCTGCTCATCAACCACCACGTGGCCCTTCCATCTCAGGGTTCCCTGGGCCAGGAGCCACGTGGTTGGCCTCCATCTCTTGTCTGTCAGAGTCTGCTGAGATGATCCCAGTGGAGTGGGGTGTCCCAGCTACTCTTGTCACAACCCGTGGTTTTCCCCTCCCATCTCCACCTCCACCACAGCTGGTACATAACCCTGCGTCTTTCTTCTCTTCTGGGTAACCACACCAGCTGAAGATTACCCAAGACCACTCCAAGAGCCAAAACCAGGGAGACCCCTTAAGTTTCTGACCTTGCAACATGACCAGGTTTAGTAATTTGGGTCCATGAGATAAGTGACACCAAAGCCAACGCCCTGGGGGCACCAGGCAGCATACTTAGATCCATGTAACCTTTGAAGAGGTGGAGTCACGGTGATACTTGGAGTAATAGTAAAGAAACATGCTCTAAGTAACAATGATTATTTAAGAATAGTTAGCATTTACAGACAGATCTCTGGTAGTGTAGTGGTTATGAGTCGAGCTGCTACAATCTCATGGTCAGCAGTTCGAAACTACTAGTGGTTAATCTAAGAAAGATGAAGCTTTCTGCTCCTATAAAGATTTACAGCCTCGGAAACCCTATACAGGGTCGCTATGAGTCACCAGATGGACTACATCTGCGGAAAGAGATGATGGAAAAGCTCCATATCATCAGTCAAAACAAGGCCAGGGGCAGATTGTGGAACAGACCATCAATTACTCATATGCAAATTCAAACTG